CAATATAAATAGAGAATAAATTTTCATACATTAGAATGTTAATGTCAGTGGGGATCTTATGTTCAACATAAGAGGTGGCGCGTCTCATGGGGGCTGCATTGCGATAAGCAATTGATGGTCGAGAATGAGTGGAATTAAAGTCCAGAACAGTCAATCGAAGACGCCAGCTTGAGCGTATTAGTAAGGATCCTCGATAGTGATCACAGACGAATTCCTCAAGTATAAGTGACGGCTCAGGACTATGAGGGTGCTGAAAAAGGAAGAAAAAGCAAAGGGCGAGAAGCAGGACGGACAGTGTTCATGGCTAGTGATGTTTTGTCACTTGTGGTGGAACAATTAGAGTATGACTACTTAGACTCATTCTCCTTCATCAAATCAGTTCCTAAGCAAATGTATTTCATCAGGTTGGGAAAACAAGCCACAGTATGGAGTTGAATGAATAAAGCAGTGTACAAATGGAATTATGTGTTTTAAAATTTGCTGGGGATAGTAAAGTGTTCGAATGTTAACTGACTCTTTTTCGTCAAAATTATTATAACTCGTTTTTATTGTTCTAATGTTTGTGGAGTGATGAGTGGACTCATGTTTAGCTTAATTGTCCAGTCTTGCTTGCAATAGGGTTTCTCTGAAGGAAGTGAAACCAATTCAGGGTTACAGACATGAGCCAAAAATGTAATTGGCACAAGAAATTGGCACCAATACAATTGGTTAGTGACATCCAACTAGACAGTAAGGAGCCGCAACTTAGCACAAAGTTCTGCCCTACAGACATAAGTGGATTGAAGTTGTCTCCTCCCCATTATGTTTGCTGGTCAGTAACGTCACCCTCTCTCCTTGTGATGTTAAACTCGCCTACGTTTGTGGCATGTATGGATGTTGTTTTAATCTATATTGCACACCTTTTTGGAATAGTGTCACTACCAGTTCCATGTTACAAGCAGATCAGACAGCTAAAACGTTTGCATTGTGGGTTGAATATGTGTTTACTGTATCGCATTGCTATGAAGAAAATTAGTGGTAGACGTTATAAGATATCGGTCAGATTATATGTGGTTTAGAGATGATAAGGACAAATTGCTGACCGGATAATATGAAAAAGAAGTTTAAAGTTATAAGATATATGAGTAGGACGATGAGTAAGCGGGATAAAAAAACATTGTTTGGACGCTAGTGATGAAAAACATTTCATACTAGTAAAATATAGACTAGAAGGAACTCACAATAATTTAGGATAGTTTCTGAGCTTCTTATGATTGGATAGTTTTCGATTTTTCGCTTGAACAGTCTCTAGTTTCATCAAGTTTTATTGGGTCGTGGTTCAAGGCATTTCTAGGGCCCAATGTGTGCAACACCATAAATGGTTATGGAGATGAAAAGAAAATCCAAGAATCGCAGTTACTTAGTTATAAAAAAGGAATACGGAGCATACAATAAGAGAAAACGAAGAAAGCACTGTTTGGTCTGCAACATGTCAAACGTCAAGTTTTAGAGGCTATTCAGCGTCAAATGATCTCAGTTTGTGATATGGCTGTCAAATGTCAGTCGGTTAGATGTTGGATGGACCATTGTCAAATGCAGGTTGGTTTAGGTAATCTCCATCAAGCATGTGGGAAACTCCGAACCGGTCCATAAAGCAGTTTAGGAAGGATTTAAATTGAATAAGCGTTTGGCTTGACCGGATGTCTACTGGTAATCTATTCCAGAGGCTTGCATAGCGCGTGACTTCAATTTGCTTGATGTTCTCGATATATTTAGTACAAAAAACGTAGATAACTAATTAGGAAAAAACAGTATTTGATTGCTTAATTACATAGTTAACTATGCCTGTTACCTCACGTAGAGAAGCATAGGCCACCCACTAGCATTTTCCATTCAACTCTGTCCTCAACATTTCATTCCAGTTGTTATTCATGCTTTTGATCTGCTTCCGATTCTGCACGGCCTTCCTCTTCCCGCCATGATTCCATGTTGGCGCTTGCCATGTGATGCAGTTTCATGATTTCCATAATGTATGTCCTATCCACTTCCAACGTCTTTTCGTAATTTTCTCCTCACTTAGAAGCTGGTCTGTTCTCTCCCACAGTAGGTTGTTGTTGATGGTATATGGTGAACGGACATTGAGAATCTTACTTTGACATTTGTTTATAAATGCTTGTACGTTTTTGATGATGGTTGTGGTAGTTCTTGTTTCAGCCCCGTACAGTAGGATTGTGTTTACGTTCGTATTGAAGATTCTGACTTTGATAATGGCTTGCGGACAGTTCCTTTGAGTTCTATTTGTTCTTCACCTGCATTTGTTGGTGTGTATAGAATAAAAGGTCTATTTGCATGCAATCTGTCCATTGTATTCCGTGATTTCCCTCAGATGTGTAGGTCTTCATAATCCAGTCAACCACCGGAAGAGAAAGGGGGTAGTAGGCAACCTTGCCTGACACTGGTCCTCACTTTGAGTGCATCTGCCAGTAATCCTCCATTCACCACTGTACAGTTTAGTCCATCGTATGAATTCGGTATGATGTTGACGATTTTCCCATGCTACTTAATCCATGTAGTCGAAGAAGGTTCAATAATGTTCTCCTATCCACGTCGTCAAATGCTTTCTCATAGTCAAGGGAGTTGATGTATAGTGATGGCTTGCATTAATTTGGTTGTTCAACAATGATCGTTAGTGTTGGGATTTAGTTTGTGCACGACCGGTCGTTACGGAATCCGGTCTGTTGATCTCGAACTTGGGCATCTACTGAATTTTTCATCCAGTTCAGTAACACTTTGTTGAAAACTTTTCCAGCGTGTCTGTGATACGTGTTCTTCCCCCAAATCTTCCTGAACAGAACGTGAAGCATTTAAGCAGTTGCTTTTATGTCTGACTTTTGTGCTTCGGATAGTATATTGTCGGGTCCATCTGATTTCCCACTTGTTTGCTTGTTTGAATCAGTGTATTCAGCTTGTGCCTTGACTTTCTCTGTTCTTGTTCGGCTATTGTTAATTACTATTTTCTTGTTCTTCCTTTCTTGAACCTTGTCTAGGGTTTCGACAGGGATCCATTCCTTATGATGATGATGCTTATCGCGACCCAGAACCTCCTGACACGTTGAAGTTAGTGCTCATTTGATCCATTTCCAGTTGTCCTCTATAGCAGTTTCTTCTTCTTTAAGTAGATCCTGTAGGGCTTGTAACGTGTTGTTGAGAGTTATCTTGAAGTGGTTGAGTTTGTTAGTATCTGGGAAAAGGGCTGTATTGAACCTTTTACACTGCTGTTTCTCTAGTTGTCCAGTGTTTCCTTAATTTCAGTTTCATCTTGACCACAACCAGGTGGTGATCTGAAGCTATGTCAGCTCCTCTCCTGGTTCTCACATCTTCCATTGTCCTTTGGAATCTTTTGTTGATACAAATATGATCTATCTGGTTCTCTGTGGTGTGATCCAGTGAGACCCATGTAGCTTTGTGTATGCGTTTGTGAAGGAACATTGTGCCGCCTGTAACCAATTTGTTGAATGCACACAGATTTGCAAATCTCTTCCCTTTTTCATCTCTTTCTCCTAGTCCATGTCGTTCTATTATATCTTCATATCCTGTGTTGTCCACTCCAATTTAGGCTTTTAGATCTCCCATCGGGATGGTGAGGTCCTTTCTTGGGCACTAAGCGACGTTAAATTGAAGCCTCGAGTAGATCTGATCTTTATCGTCGTTGCCATCATTGGTGGGTGCATAACACTGGACAACATTCATCACGTTTCCCTCCTTTGTTTTGAAGGATGCTCAGGAAAGGTTGGATAAAGAGCGCTGGTGGGCGATCTACGCTCTTCGATTAGGGGTAACAGGCGTAAGTAAAGTAAGATTCCATTTGTTTTGAAGGATGCTTTGATGGTCCTGGATCCGTGAGATTCCCATCCCATGCGCTTATTTGAACAGCGTCAGAGCAAATCCCTGAGTTTGTGGAGCATTTTCCTGTTTGTAACCAGAGTACGTGAGCATCTCTCCCGAACATAACCTTTGCTGTCCAGTTTTCGTCCAAAGTGTTTCACTGATTTCGAGAACCGCCAATTTATATATCCCCATTTCCGTTGCTATTTGACTGGTCCTCCTGGTCTCCCACATTGTCCGGACGTTCCATGTACCTATAATATTTTTTACTGTGGTTGTTAGAAAGGACATAGGCCTCATGACTTCGGAAGAATTTCAGCTTTCATCATGGGGCGTGATAATTCTTCTGAATGAAGATGCTTCAACTCGGAAGGCAGAGTTTAAATGGTTTAAATTGTTTATTCTAGTTAGAGTTTACTTTAAGCAAGGTTGTTTTCTACGGGATGGGGTTGCTGACCTCACGCCTAACCCTCTTCGTTTGTGTGGCGTTCGGACCGGCAATAGCTCTAGGAGAGGTACAAGCTGAGTTTTGGTTTCCACACTTAACATTTAATTTTTCTGGGACTGCTGTTTTTGTTTTAAGGCAGTTGAACTCTGACCAATATCATGGACTCCAATGTATGCAAGATTGACGACTTTTCCGATCTTAAGGATCTAGTTGAGAAGTCCCGTAATGTTAAGGTAAGTAATATTGGAGTTTTGACTTTACAGGCAGATGTATCTGATGAAATCAAGGACTTACTTGCTAGAAGAAGTGAAATAGAGCATAAATAAAAAAAGATAAACTCTCTAATGTATGCAAACCCGTTAGCTATACGTTTTCTGTAGACCTGATTTCCATAAGTTACAAGTAAATGCCGAAAATTCTTCAAAATTGGTCGGTTGTGCTTCGAAACTTGCTCTACAGCTCAGTGGGAAAGTGGAGCAATTAGATTTTGTAAAAGTAATCTTATTGAATTCCTAGTATTTTTCAGAATCATGTTCTTAAATGTGTAGATAAACTAAGTCATATAATTACTGTTAGGAACAGTGCAATTGGAGTGAAACGATGTCTCGTTGACTCTAAATTAGATGAAGTAACGTGGTTGATTTTCAGTTATTTTTAGGCCGCTGGTTACGTGTTTACATATCTGGAAATGGAGAAAGACATAATTTCTCTTATCTCGCGTCTATCAGCGGGTAAGCCTGTTTTCCACTTTAAAATATCATCGGTCTAAACTAGTAGTTTTCTCACTGTCCGGGTTCATTCGCATATATATATATATATATATATATATATATATATATAATGCATACTTTGATGAATCGCTTAAAAAGTGGTTGTGAATTGTTACTTCAACTTCTCTGCTTGTGTTTTGATTGAAAGTAGAGATAGCTTTCCAATAGTCTGTAACTACATGCGTAACGTGAGGTCCTGGTCAGCAAATTATATGAAAGTGGGAAGACTACTTATTCCAGTCATGATGAAGGACCATTTAGAAATATGCCTTAGGTAGTCCCTATACTTCATATCGGAACAGTAAATGTAAAAGCAATAGATGCCAAAATGATTCCAGTATTAGACGAAGTAAGTGGCTAAAGGTATCTATATTAAAATCAGAATTTAGAGATAAATAGGAAATAAATTGATCTTTGTTGTTAAGTCCTATTTTGAGCTACGTTTATTCGAGTTCTTAAACCGTTGACCACGATTATTTAGAGAACCTTGACCAATAATTCAATACCTGTCCATTACGACTTAGATAAATGATTTCGTGGTAGCTTTTAGCCTTTCAACTTACCCATAGATCGCTCGGCGTTAAACACCAGGATATGACTTAACTAGAGTCTGCATAACGTGTGTCTCAAAAACTTACAAGTTTAGGATGGTTTAGAAAGCACAGTTCTATTGTTCGTCATGATATGAAAACTTAGTATACATTGGCTATTTGTTCTCGCCACTTTCGTTTAACTGCTGTATATGTTGACGGTGTGACGTTTATTGCCCATTTCTTGGAGATTGCTGTAATCTAACTGTAGTTTCAGTCGAACAATACTCCGTTAAGTAGAAGTGATAAAAGTGGAACATTTCCAAATACTTCAATAGTGAATCAGTGGCTTATTGGTTTAAACATTAAGCTATCAACCAATGTAGGGTAGGTTTGAAATCCGAATTCTGTGTTTTAAGCATTCAAATATTATGACTAGTTGTTGTAAAACATCACTCAAAGCCGAGTATAGCTGATGAGTCACAATAATAATATAATCATTATAAAGTCTAAAGTTGAGAAACTAGACGTAGTTAAATGGATACTTCACACCTTTCAAATGTATGGTGGTGGTCTCCGTCGGTCACAACCTAGAACCTGGGGCGTTTGTACATCGGTTCAAGTTCCCATACTCTATCATCACTGAGAGATGAAATTTTCAGGCCAAATCCCAGAATAGTAGAGGTAGTTACCGCACCAAAGATACGATTCAATAGGAAAATATAAATTAGTTAAATAAAACCAAGGGAGTTTTGAGGAATTTGGAATCTCAGAATTTGGGGGAAGACAAAGAACGGATGCAACTGCGCCATTGCAAACAATTTTGAACCATGTCATTCAAAGTCTATAACCATTGGCTACTATAATCACACGCATGGCAACACAGTAGACTATACCTATTAAAATGAGTAAATCCAAATGTTGCCCCCAAATGCTCCGGTACGGCCGAGAGTGGGGAGAGTCCGCTCTCCCTCCCAAAATGCTCTCACATGACCACGCGCATATAGCCTCTGTCAGGGAGTCCTACTCTCTGCCTTCTCGCGGCATTCCCGTTTACGAAATTGGGAGGACGAATAGCGAATGTCCGGCGCTGTAAACGGGTTGGTGGACACGGAAAGTTTACCTAGGGGATTTGGCAAACCCTGATCCCAAACCAATGGTGCACATGGGCTTCAATATCCTGAAGGAACAAATGGCGTATGAACCAATTGTTGGTCACCGGCTACCATGGGACTGCATCTCCTTACGATGATCCACTGCCTTGTGGATCAGACTTTTAAGTCGATGGCTCTGGATGGGGCCCCCTAAGAAAACCACCTGTTTGGGTCTGGGCACTCAGTCAGTATCATAGCCGTCACACAATTAAGTGAAATGACGTTTTTTTGTGTGGCGCATATGTATCTGGTGCCACTTGTACTAATATTTATGTGTTCAAATAAATAAATTCAAATGTTAATAACTTCATGGATTGATTCTATGTCTTGGTTTGACAGCCCCTAGCCTTCCAGCCTACTCGTACACCTACATACGTAACGCATGTCTCAACCACCTCACTTGATGAAGATTTACTACCTCATCAATCGACTTGTTATTCTTACCTAGTACCGTATTCCTAACTCAGACATTGCTTATTCCGTGGTCCCAAAATACGCGAGCAATGCTTCGAAAATACCTATGATTTGATGCTTGTAACCTACAAATATCCTTTATTTTTGATGGCCATGATGGTGATCTGACTAACTGGAAACCAATAAAGTGACTAAGGAGTTACGATTTAGTAATAATCAACATAGAACTTGGCGCAAATGTGATTTAGCTCAGGTTAGGATTCCATGGTAGCGCAACAAGATGAAATAAACGGAAAAGTAGCAAATGAGTCGAAATAATAGTAATATCAGCGATAATGAACGGCTAAAATTTCAGAGTATACTTCAAAAATGAGGGACGAACTAAAGACATGTATATGTGAATATCAAGACTGAATAGAAGGTAAATGTATCTATACTGCTATTCATTTCTAAATCACGTCACACACTTGAAGTACCCCTAAATAAACGGGTATATACGTCTTTTTAAGCCAATTTGACAATATATTAATATGGGAAGCCAACATATTGAAACATATGTCCGAACGTCAAGCTCCATGAACTAGCTAATATTATGACAGATACACGTCACTCAACATATACATACTGTATTTATTCTGATTTTACGAATCATATCATCAAATATTTCCTGTTGTAGTTTTTAATCTCCGATTTTTAATGGTCTCTTGTTTCTGATGGTCATTAATGATGATCTAAACAAAATACTCTATAGATAATCCTGATAATAATCCATTGACAACTCTGGATGACAGTCGACAAATTCTTGTGAAGATGGCAGTTGAGAAATTCAATGAATATGTTTCGAAACGATATGAAAAGAATATAGTATATTTATTAAAGATATTTTTCTTATTGGGCAAAACCAATGAAGGAATTCGACGATTTTCTCTATATCTTTGCTCATACATTTCAAATAAATGTGAACTATTGATAACTACTAATAAATCATCTTCACAATCATCGGAATTTGTATCGGCTAATTTAATCACAGAAATTCTAGAGTTTGTTGCAGATACATTGAAAAATAATTCAATGTACGTCGAAACATACTGTGGTAAGTATAAAATTTTTTATTGTCATTTAAAGAAACAAGAAGAGTTGTGCAAAAGCTAATTTTTCTGACTTTCTAATGTGATATGTTTTTTGCAAGGGGAAAAAAGTATTTTAGTGTTAATAACTTGTAAAATACCGGTTTAGTCTGAGCCATGTTAGTAGATGCAGACTACTTGGTTAGGGTCCGCGTGACTATCGTAACCAAATGGGTGGAGACTCTAGGTGACATGGCTCAGAATCGATCACAATTGCGTAGGTGTATACACTCTTTATCTTCCCTTAAACCTTGAGATTAAAATTGCTTCATAACGTTCTTCCTTCCTGTACTATATCCTTATATACAATCTTTCTTTTATATATTACCACCACTAAATTAACTACTTCTATGAATCCGGTGTTCATCTTGTTGTGCTAATGATGTATGGAGACTTGGACCGATGCATAAATGTGCCTAGTCCTACGTTGTAGCTGACTGACTGACCGACTGTAAAATACCGGTTATTATGGTAGCAAAATATGGTTTATTCATCTTCCTGTACCCTCTTCCATATGACGAAATAATTTTGATTCGAGTTAACTGTTGGAAGCAAAAAATATATTACTAATTTGAAATTGACTAAATTGGCTTCACCAGATCAGTCATCTTAGTTATTAAACCATAAAGTGTAAGGTTAGTGGTGGTTCGTTCTCTAGGTCCTAGTTTGAAAAAAAGCATACAACTATTAATGTTATTATTCTTGTTCGAATCCCATTTGGATTTCCAGGTCAAGTCTAGGTTTAATTTCATTTCGTTTGGTGGATATGAATTAGTACAGCTTATATCAAAAACTGACCTTCGTTAGACTACAGTTAAAAACCAGGAAGTTCTGGACATCTGTTCCGTCCTATTATTGAACTCTTCAGCAGTGCATGTCCATGACCCCACTGAAGATAGAACCCTGAACCTCTAGGTCTTGCTGCGAGTGCTTGACGTTTTGACCATTTAGTCGGCATCCAGTGATTTATGTATCTAATTTCAACCAACGTGCTATATCGCGCGAGGCCTAAAGATCCTAATTCACTTGGTATTGTTTGCTTGTATCTTCACACTGGTGTTTAGGACTGCAATTGATCAGTCTCTTGTTGGCATATATGCATCGTGTGCGAACTGCCTCGATATTGCCTTAAATCACAAGCTTTATGAACAAAGATGGATAGTGGCTAGCAGTGAAATCCAGGACGCGCGTTTCGTCCTATTTGGGACTTGTCGGCTGAATGTTTGTGCACATATGCACATATGCCAACAAGAGACTGATCAATTGCAGTCGTAAACAACAATGGGAAGATACAAGCGAACAATACCAAATGAATGAAAATGTCACACCATTTCACAAGCAGGTGGCTATCAGGACTCATAAGCTGAGTGAATAACTCGTTGGTTTTTGGGGCGAACGGTCTGGGTTGGAGTCCCGAATTGAACCACTCTGGAATGCAGGTGCATTGCCCCCAAATGCCCTGGTACGGCCGAGAGTGGGGAGAGTCTACTCTCCCTCTTGAAATGCTCTCACATGGCCAGCGAATATATAGCCTCTGCCAGAAATGTCCTACTCACTGCCTTCTCGTGGCGGGGGTGTTGTTTACGAAAGTGAGAGGACGAAAAGCGAATGTCCGGCGCTTCAACCGGGTTGGTGGACACGGAGGGTCCACCCAGGGGAGTTGAAAAACCCTGATTCCAAACCAATGGTGCACATGGGCTCTAGTATCCTGATGGAACGAATGGCGGACGAACCTGTCATTGGTCAATGGCTACCATGGGACTGCATCTCCTCACGATGCTCCATTGCCTTGTGGATCAGACCTTTTGGTCAAAGGCTCGAGGTGTGGCCCACTAAGAAAACCACCTGCTTCGGTTTGGGCACCCGGGCAGTATCACAGCCCACACACAAATAAATAAAATGATGAATTCTATTGACGATACTATTCTCGCTCACACTAGAAGCAAGACAATTTACACTATTATTGTTATTATTACCATTTTTATTATAATAATTATTATTATTATTACTATTATTTACTACGTCGCTTTTTCACTCCCTTTATTCTCAAATTGTGTATCCTTCCTTTCCAACTTATGCAGCAGCTCGCCCATGGTGGAAAATCTGTCCTATCTAAACGATCTCCAGTCACTGTCTGGTTGAAAGTGAATGCTTCCACCGATTATGAATACTGAGGCAGTCTTTCTGAAACCACGTACGCCGTTCAAGCTGGCTTCCTTCAACGTTCGCACACTAATGCATATCAGACAACAGATAGGGCTGGCTATGTCCTTGGAAGGTCTTAATGTTGATGTTTGTTGTCTATCCGAGACCCGTATTCAAGGCTCTAGTGAAGTACTACAAATCCGCTCTCCATCTGTCTCCTCGAAAAGCTTGTTCCACGTGCGCTTATCCGTGGACCCTGTGGCATCTTCGTCTGGTCTTGCTGGCGTTGGTGTCGCATTAAGCGCTAGAGCTGAGGCAGCACTAATCGATTGGATCCCCATTAACAGTCGGTTATGTGCTGTTAGATTAGAAAGTTCCATCAAAGTGAGAAGAAATCGGCGTGAGAAACGGTGTCTTTTCGTCATCTCCGCCTATGCCCCGACAGATTGCAGCCCGGATGCAATCAAGGATGAGTTTTACCATCAGTTAACAGTTCTTCTCCAGAAAACGCGTTCGACAGATATTGTAGTACTAGCCGGAGACTTGAATGCACAGGTCGGGCGTCTAGGCACAGAAGAGAGTCGTTTAGGTGGCCGATGGGGACTTGTTGGTCGCAGGACAGATAACGGGGACCGTTTGCTGCAACTGTGCACAGACCACAACCTGTTTCTGGCCAGCACTAACTTCCGGCACAGTCATCGCCGGTGTGCCACCTGGCGTCCTCCCTCTGCATCCCAAGCCTGGACTCAGATTGATCACATCGCGATCAGCTACCGCTGGCGTGGTTGTGTACAAGACTGCCGCTCCTTTTGGAGTACCTATCTGGAGTCTGATCATGCCCTGGTCTGCGCCAATCTCACCTTACTTTTCAGTGGCCGAAGGATTGACCACCACCAACGGATTGATGTTAGTAAACTGGCTGCAACATCTGTTGCAAGTAAGTATGGAGCGGAGTTAGCCTCTAGGCTAGCTACCATCCCACCGAAAAGTATAGATGAGCATTGGTTGCTTCTTCACGACGCCATGAAATTGACGAGTAAAGCCGCTTGCGGCTTCGCGAAACGTCCCGCTTACAAGCACTGGGTTTCTTCTGGCTCCTTACAACTGATGGAAGCCCGTCGGTCTACTCCGGGTGACCGTGAGTTTGACCACAAACGAAGGTTGTTACGTAATGAAATCGGGCAAAGCTTGCGTAAGGACCGAGAAGCCTGGTGGTCGGAGCGTGCTAATGAGATGGAAAAAGCAGCTGCATCTGGTAACTGCCGGAAGCTCTTCCAACTCATCCGAGCCACTGGCAGCAAGAAGTCTGTTGTGAGTGAAACAATCTACGAGGATGAAGGGATGCCAATCACTAACATCTCTCGACGTCTTGGACGATGGGCGGAATTTTTCGAAGGGCAGTTCAACTGGCCTGCTGCTCCGGCAACATCAACCAGTTTGTCCTGCCCCCCCCCATGGCCGGTGACGACTGATCCACCAAACGAGGCGGAAGTCCGCAATGAAACTCCAACTCTTGAAGTTCGTGTATCTAGGTAGGTATATAAGTGCTGGTGGTGGCGTGAGTGATGAGATTGATGCACGTATAATGAAAGCCAGAGCGGCTTATGCCAATCTGGGCCATCTTTGGCGCCTTCGTGATGTTAGTCTGGCTGTAAAAGGTCGGATCTACAACGCGTCGGTGAGAGCAGTTTTGCTCTATGCTCGTGAAACCTGGCCTCTCCGAGTTGAGGATGTTAGACGTCTCTCTGTGTTCGATCATTGTTGTCTCCGAAGGATTGCTGACATCCAGTGGCAACACCATGTTAGTAATGCAGAGGTTCGGCATCGTGTGTTCGGGCGCAGAGACGATAATTCAATTGGTGTCACCATGTTGAAACACCGACTTCGGTGGCTTGGACATGTTTTACGAATGTCGTCCCAGAGACTTCCACTTCGTGCATTATTTGCCGACTCTGGGACTGGTTGGAAAAAGCGGAGAGGAGGTCAGTGTATGACATGGTGTCGTGGCATGAAAGAGAGCTGCAAAGGGCTAGCATCTGTTGGTCCTTCACGACTCCCTGGCTGGGGTCCGAGAGATGGTGCAACACAATGGCTAGAGACGTTATCAGATATGGCTCAGAAAAGAAGCCAGTGGCGATCCTGCTGCAACCTTCTTTTACTTTCTACATAAAGAATGGTTCTAACTTTCTTAACTGAAAGAGTCTTCTGGTTGTACATTTCAGCCCGCCTTATCTTTTCATCCTTTCCCTTCCTACTTTCATTATTTTGTGTGGCGCATATGTAACTGGTGCCCTTTTGTACCAATATATATGTGTTTAAATAAATAAATAAATAAATAAATAACATGTGGTGAAGTTTATGCTGATGATGTCGTTCAGAAGAATGATGAAAGCTCCACGATCAAACCATCCAGTCCGGTGTCAAGCCCCCAAATGCCCTGGTACGGCCGAGAGTGGGGAGAGTCTACTCTCCCTCTCCAAATGCTCTCACATGGCCAGCGAATATATAGCCTCTGCCAGGGATGTCCTACTCACTGCCTTCTCGTGGCGGGGGTGTTGTTTACGAAAGTGAGAGGACGAAAAGCGAATGTCCGGCGCTTTAACCGGGTTGGTGGACACGCAGGGTCCACCTAGGGGAGTTGGAAAACCCTGATTCCAAACCAATGGTGCACATGGGCTCCAGTATCCTGATGGAACGAATGGCGGACGAACCTGTCATTGGTCAACGGCTACCATGGGACTGCATCTCCTCACGATGCTCCATTGCCTTGTGGATCAGACCTTTTGGTCAAAGGCTCGGGGTGTGGCCCCCTAAGAATACC